CTTTGGGTCAATTCTAGAGGCAGAAACACCAAATTTTCAACTTTTCACTTCTCAGCCAATCAGATTCGAGCTTAGTTTGAGCTTCCGCTATCACTCAGACACGGGCCAATCACCTATGCCGCTTTTGGCGGGTAACCTCCAACCCAAGTATAAATAGTCGGCACTTCACATACTTTACTATATATATAGTTGAAATTGCTCCTTAATATATATAAGTAACGACTCACCAGAGCTCTCCTTCTATTGCTCTTTTACGTGCCTAACTATTTTTTTATACATCGAGCGCTCTCAAGGCTTCTGGAGATCTGAATCTCTAGGTTACCTCACGGATTTTCACAAAATTCAACACCCAAAATCTACTTCTACATCTACAACTCAGCTACACTCAACTGACGAAGAATGGCCCGAACGAAGCAGACTGCACGAAAGAGTACCGGAGGAAAGGCACCCAGGAAGCAACTGGCTACCAAGGCTGCAAGGAAGAGCGCACCTTCCACCGGCGGTGTGAAGAAGCCTCACCGATACAGACCAGGAACCGTTGCCCTGAGGGAGATCAGGAGATACCAGAAGTCCACTGAGCTGTTGATCCGAAAGCTGCCCTTCCAGCGACTGGTCAGAGAAATCGCCCAGGACTTCAAGACTGACTTGCGGTTCCAGAGCACTGCCATCATGGCTCTGCAGGAAGCCAGCGAGAGCTACTTGGTCAGCCTGTTCGAGGACACCAACTTGTGCGCGATCCACGCCAAGAGAGTCACGATCATGCCCAAGGACATCCAGTTGGCTCGACGAATCCGAGGAGAGCGAGCTTAAGCTCAAGGTGTACTCCACACCAATCAAACCGGCCTTTTTAAAGGCCACCCAACTATAAGTTCTATAATTCTTCACATTGAGCCTCGCTCAAGCGAGCTTCGACCAGAGGAAGCTTGAGCTGGTCTAGGTTGAGCTCTGCTTCCCCCTCATTGGGGTGACGCAGCTGGAAAAAGAGCTCGAGCTAGCTGTTCAATTGCTCCCGTACGTAGCCTAACTATTTTCAACTTAGAGCTCTCAGAGCTCGGCAAGCTATCTCACAGACCTCGAGCGAGCTTCTACGAGCTTGATTTAAATCACATAGCTCTGATAAGCTCTGTGGACTGACCAGTTTGAGGTAGAAGGTCTTGTGGGAGCTCAAAAAAAAAATTTCAATTGCTCCTTTACGTGCCTAACTTTTTTAAATACTTATTATCTGCTCTCTCATTGGCTGTTGGTATGAGGGCCAATCAGAGAGCAGAGAAGTCGGTCGAAAATTGATAGGTACCTAGCGATTTTTGCCAATCTCAAACCCAACTGCTACTTCAATTTCTACAACAACTACAACTGCAACAACCATGTCTGGACGAGGAAAGGGAGGAAAAGGACTTGGCAAAGGAGGAGCAAAGAGGCACCGAAAGATCTTAAGAGATAACATCCAAGGCATCACCAAGCCAGCCATCAGACGTCTTGCTCGACGAGGAGGTGTCAAGCGTATCAGTGGACTGATCTACGAAGAGACCCGAGGAGTGCTCAAGAACTACTTGGAGAGCGTGATCAGGGATGCTGTAACCTACACCGAGCACGCCAAGAGGAAGACCGTTGTAGCCATGGACATCGTCTACGCCCTCAAGAGACAAGGCAAGACCTTGTACGGATTCGGAGGTTAAGAAGCTTCTTAGCCAGCTGCTCTCCTAGCTGCAGCACCAAACCGGCCTTTTTAAAGGCCACCAACTATCTCAGTTCTTAAGTCAAGCTCTACTAGAGCTCTAACGAGCTCTGCTAGAGCTCTAACAAGCTCAGCTAGTTAGTGTAGAGTTTTCAGCGTATCTAAATTAACTTAAAATGCTAGCTCGATTCTGATTGGCTCTCCCATCTTGGTGGCCGATTTGAACTTACTACCCTAAGACAGGGAGCCAAATTGCGGGTAAAGTCAATCGTCAATCTACAGCTTCTACCACAACTACAACACGATGTCAGGCAAAGGAGGAAAATCGAAGAGCGGCAAAGTTGGAGCCAAGGCCAAGACCCGATCAAGCCGAGCTGGACTGCAGTTCCCTGTTGGAAGAATCCACCGATTCATCCGCAAGGGCAACTACGCTGAGCGAGTTGGTGCTGGAGCTCCAGTCTACCTTGCTGCTGTGCTCGAGTACTTGACTGCTGAGATCCTTGAGCTGGCTGGCAACGCTGCTAAAGACAACAAGAAGTCCAGGATCATCCCCAGACACTTGCAGTTGGCCATCAGGAACGACGAAGAGTTGAACAAGCTGCTCCACGGAGTGACCATTGCTCAGGGCGGTGTGCTGCCAAACATCCAGGCTGTGCTCCTACCCAAGAAGCAGTCTTCGTCTCAGCCCAAGTCTGATAAGAAGTAAAGAGCTTCTACCTCAACCAGTTGCTAGCTTTCAAGCTTCAACACCAAACCGGCCTTTTTAAAGGCCACCAAACTTAAAGTTCTATCTTTTTATCCTGCCTAGCAGGCATAGCTACGCTACTCAGAGCAAACCATGGGGGCCTAACACAACTAGCTAGCCTCGAGCTCGACTGGCAGTCCAAAATTGAAGCTTAATTTAGCTTTCAGCTGAGAGCCAATCAGAATTGAGTATTCTTCGAGCTCAATTTGAACACAATTTTTCAAGTTAGGTTGGCATTTTTGCTCGATCCACAACTCAACACCACTACAACTACATCTCTACAATGGCACCCAAAGTCAGCGGAAAGGCAGTCAAGAAGGCAGGCAAAGCCCAGAAGAAGCCCACTGGAGACAAGAAAAAGAAGAAGAAGAGGCGAGAGACCTACTCTCTCTACATCTACAAGGTGCTGAAGCAGGTCCACCCTGACACCGGCATCTCCTCCAAGGCTATGTCGATCATGAACAGCTTCGTGAACGACATCTTCGAGAGAATCGCCGGTGAAGCTTCAAAACTGGCCCACTACAACAAGCGATCAACCATCTCTAGCCGGGAGATCCAAACCGCAGTCAGACTGCTGTTGCCCGGAGAGCTGGCCAAGCATGCTGTCAGTGAGGGAACCAAGGCCGTCACCAAGTACACCAGCTCCAAGTAGACGACCAGCTTCTGCAACTAGTTGCTCTGAGCAACACCAAACCGGCCTTTTTAAAGGCCACCAAAAAGCATAGTTCTCTTTGTACTCTAGCTAGCAAGCTCAAATTGGCTTGTATGCAATTTCGAGCTCTCAAAAGCTAGCTTTGAGCATCTAATTTGAGCTACTAAGCTCAACTGAGCTTGTAACTTGCTTAAAATAGCTCCAGATCAATTTAAGAGCTAAAAGACAGCAGAATTTTAAGCTTTCACGTCTCAGCCAATCAGATTTGAGCTTCCTTGTGCTCTCTAACTTACAGCTCGAAATAGCTAAGTTTGAGCTTCCAAAGCTAGCTAACGAACCCAATTCAGCTAGGATAAGCTCAATTGAGTTTGTAGCTGGCTGACATTAGCTTTGGGTCAATTCTAGAGGCAGAAACACCAAATTTTCAACTTTTCACTTCTCAGCCAATCAGATTCGAGCTTAGTTTGAGCTTCCGCTATCACTCAGACACGGGCCAATCACCTATGCCGCTTTTGGCGGGTAACCTCCAACCCAAGTATAAATAGTCGGCACTTCACATACTTTACTATATATATAGTTGAAATTGCTCCTTAATATATATAAGTAACGACTCACCAGAGCTCTCCTTCTATTGCTCTTTTACGTGCCTAACTATTTTTTTATACATCGAGCGCTCTCAAGGCTTCTGGAGATCTGAATCTCTAGGTTACCTCACGGATTTTCACAAAATTCAACACCCAAAATCTACTTCTACATCTACAACTCAGCTACACTCAACTGACGAAGAATGGCCCGAACGAAGCAGACTGCACGAAAGAGTACCGGAGGAAAGGCACCCAGGAAGCAACTGGCTACCAAGGCTGCAAGGAAGAGCGCACCTTCCACCGGCGGTGTGAAGAAGCCTCACCGATACAGACCAGGAACCGTTGCCCTGAGGGAGATCAGGAGATACCAGAAGTCCACTGAGCTGTTGATCCGAAAGCTGCCCTTCCAGCGACTGGTCAGAGAAATCGCCCAGGACTTCAAGACTGACTTGCGGTTCCAGAGCACTGCCATCATGGCTCTGCAGGAAGCCAGCGAGAGCTACTTGGTCAGCCTGTTCGAGGACACCAACTTGTGCGCGATCCACGCCAAGAGAGTCACGATCATGCCCAAGGACATCCAGTTGGCTCGACGAATCCGAGGAGAGCGAGCTTAAGCTCAAGGTGTACTCCACACCAATCAAACCGGCCTTTTTAAAGGCCACCCAACTATAAGTTCTATAATTCTTCACATTGAGCCTCGCTCAAGCGAGCTTCGACCAGAGGAAGCTTGAGCTGGTCTAGGTTGAGCTCTGCTTCCCCCTCATTGGGGTGACGCAGCTGGAAAAAGAGCTCGAGCTAGCTGTTCAATTGCTCCCGTACGTAGCCTAACTTTTTTGAGCTTCGAGCTCGCAGAGCTCGGCAAGCTACCTCATAGAGCTCAGGCAAGCTTGTATAAGCTTGATTTAAATCACAGAGCTCGAATAAGCTCTGTCGACTGACCAGTTTAAGCTAGTACACCTTGTGTGAGCTCAAAATTTTTTCAATTGCTCCCGTACGTAGCCTAACTATTTTCAACTTAGAGCTCTCAGAGCTCGGCAAGCTATCTCACAGACCTCGAGCGAGCTTCTACGAGCTTGATTTAAATCACATAGCTCTGATAAGCTCTGTGGACTGACCAGTTTGAGGTAGAAGGTCTTGTGGGAGCTCAAAAAAAAAATTTCAATTGCTCCTTTACGTGCCTAACTTTTTTAAATACTTATTATCTGCTCTCTCATTGGCTGTTGGTATGAGGGCCAATCAGAGAGCAGAGAAGACGGTCGAAAATTGATAGGTACCTAGCGATTTTTGCCAATCTCAAACCCAACTGCTACTTCAATTTCTACAACAACTACAACTGCAACAACCATGTCTGGACGAGGAAAGGGAGGAAAAGGACTTGGCAAAGGAGGAGCAAAGAGGCACCGAAAGATCTTAAGAGATAACATCCAAGGCATCACCAAGCCAGCCATCAGACGTCTTGCTCGACGAGGAGGTGTCAAGCGTATCAGTGGACTGATCTACGAAGAGACCCGAGGAGTGCTCAAGAACTACTTGGAGAGCGTGATCAGGGATGCTGTAACCTACACCGAGCACGCCAAGAGGAAGACCGTTGTAGCCATGGACATCGTCTACGCCCTCAAGAGACAAGGCAAGACCTTGTACGGATTCGGAGGTTAAGAAGCTTCTTAGCCAGCTGCTCTCCTAGCTGCAGCACCAAACCGGCCTTTTTAAAGGCCACCAACTATCTCAGTTCTTAAGTCAAGCTCTACTAGAGCTCTAACGAGCTCTGCTAGAGCTCTAACAAGCTCAGCTAGTTAGTGTAGAGTTTTCAGCGTATCTAAATTAACTTAAAATGCTAGCTCGATTCTGATTGGCTCTCCCATCTTGGTGGCCGATTTGAACTTACTACCCTAAGACAGGGAGCCAAATTGCGGGTAAAGTCAATCGTCAATCTACAGCTTCTACCACAACTACAACACGATGTCAGGCGTCAGGCAAAGGAGGAAAATCGAAGAGCGGCAAAGTTGGAGCCAAGGCCAAGACCCGATCAAGCCGAGCTGGACTGCAGTTCCCTGTTGGAAGAATCCACCGATTCATCCGCAAGGGCAACTACGCTGAGCGAGTTGGTGCTGGAGCTCCAGTCTACCTTGCTGCTGTGCTCGAGTACTTGACTGCTGAGATCCTTGAGCTGGCTGGCAACGCTGCTAAAGACAACAAGAAGTCCAGGATCATCCCCAGACACTTGCAGTTGGCCATCAGGAACGACGAAGAGTTGAACAAGCTGCTCCACGGAGTGACCATTGCTCAGGGCGGTGTGCTGCCAAACATCCAGGCTGTGCTCCTACCCAAGAAGCAGTCTTCGTCTCAGCCCAAGTCTGACAAGAAGTAAAGAGCTTCTACCTCAACCAGTTGCTAGCTTTCAAGCTTCAACACCAAACCGGCCTTTTTAAAGGCCACCAAACTTAAAGTTCTATCTTTTTATCCTGCCTAGCAGGCATAGCTACGCTACTCAGAGCAAACCATGGGGGCCTAACACAACTAGCTAGCCTCGAGCTCGACTGGCAGTCCAAAATTGAAGCTTAATTTAGCTTTCAGCTGAGAGCCAATCAGAATTGAGTATTCTTCGAGCTCAATTTGAACACAATTTTTCAAGTTAGGTTGGCATTTTTGCTCGATCCACAACTCAACACCACTACAACTACATCTCTACAATGGCACCCAAAGTCAGCGGAAAGGCAGTCAAGAAGGCAGGCAAAGCCCAGAAGAAGCCCACTGGAGACAAGAAAAAGAAGAAGAAGAGGCGAGAGACCTACTCTCTCTACATCTACAAGGTGCTGAAGCAGGTCCACCCTGACACCGGCATCTCCTCCAAGGCTATGTCGATCATGAACAGCTTCGTGAACGACATCTTCGAGAGAATCGCCGGTGAAGCTTCAAAACTGGCCCACTACAACAAGCGATCAACCATCTCTAGCCGGGAGATCCAAACCGCAGTCAGACTGCTGTTGCCCGGAGAGCTGGCCAAGCATGCTGTCAGTGAGGGAACCAAGGCCGTCACCAAGTACACCAGCTCCAAGTAGACGACCAGCTTCTGCAACTAGTTGCTCTGAGCAACACCAAACCGGCCTTTTTAAAGGCCACCAAAAAGCATAGTTCTCTTTGTACTCTAGCTAGCAAGCTCAAATTGGCTTGTATGCAATTTCGAGCTCTCAAAAGCTAGCTTTGAGCATCTAATTTGAGCTACTAAGCTCAACTGAGCTTGTAACTTGCTTAAAATAGCTCCAGATCAATTTAAGAGCTAAAAGACAGCAGAATTTTAAGCTTTCACGTCTCAGCCAATCAGATTTGAGCTTCCTTGTGCTCTCTAACTTACAGCTCGAAATAGCTAAGTTTGAGCTTCCAAAGCTAGCTAACGAACCCAATTCAGCTAGGATAAGCTCAATTGAGTTTGTAGCTGGCTGACATTAGCTTTGGGTCAATTCTAGAGGCAGAAACACCAAATTTTCAACTTTTCACTTCTCAGCCAATCAGATTCGAGCTTAGTTTGAGCTTCCGCTATCACTCAGACACGGGCCAATCACCTATGCCGCTTTTGGCGGGTAACCTCCAACCCAAGTATAAATAGTCGGCACTTCACATACTTTACTATATATATAGTTGAAATTGCTCCTTAATATATATAAGTAACGACTCACCAGAGCTCTCCTTCTATTGCTCTTTTACGTGCCTAACTATTTTTTTATACATCGAGCGCTCTCAAGGCTTCTGGAGATCTGAATCTCTAGGTTACCTCACGGATTTTCACAAAATTCAACACCCAAAATCTACTTCTACATCTACAACTCAGCTACACTCAACTGACGAAGAATGGCCCGAACGAAGCAGACTGCACGAAAGAGTACCGGAGAAAGGCACCCAGGAAGCAACTGGCTACCAAGGCTGCAAGGAAGAGCGCACCTTCCACCGGCGGTGTGAAGAAGCCTCACCGATACAGACCAGGAACCGTTGCCCTGAGGGAGATCAGGAGATACCAGAAGTCCACTGAGCTGTTGATCCGAAAGCTGCCCTTCCAGCGACTGGTCAGAGAAATCGCCCAGGACTTCAAGACTGACTTGCGGTTCCAGAGCACTGCCATCATGGCTCTGCAGGAAGCCAGCGAGAGCTACTTGGTCAGCCTGTTCGAGGACACCAACTTGTGCGCGATCCACGCCAAGAGAGTCACGATCATGCCCAAGGACATCCAGTTGGCTCGACGAATCCGAGGAGAGCGAGCTTAAGCTCAAGGTGTACTCCACACCAATCAAACCGGCCTTTTTAAAGGCCACCCAACTATAAGTTCTATAATTCTTCACATTGAGCCTCGCTCAAGCGGGCTTCGACCAGAGGAAGCTTGAGCTGGTCTAGGTTGAGCTCTGCTTCCCCCTCATTGGGGTGACGCAGCTGGAAAAAGAGCTCGAGCTAGCTGTTCAATTGCTCCCGTTCGTAGCCTAACTTTTTTGAGCTTCGAGCTCGCAGAGCTCGGCAAGCTACCTCATAGAGCTCAGGCAAGCTTGTATAAGCTTGATTTAAATCACAGAGCTCGAATAAGCTCTGTCGACTGACCAGTTTAAGCTAGTACACATTGTGTGAGCTCAAAATTTTTTCAATTGCTCCCGTACGTAGCCTAACTATTTTCAACTTAGAGCTCTCAGAGCTCGGCAAGCTATCTCACAGACCTCGAGCGAGCTTCTACGAGCTTGATTTAAATCACATAGCTCTGATAAGCTCTGTGGACTGACCAGTTTGAGGTAGAAGGTCTTGTGGGAGCTCAAAAAAAAAATTTCAATTGCTCCTTTACGTGCCTAACTTTTTTAAATACTTATTATCTGCTCTCTCATTGGCTGTTGGTATGAGGGCCAATCAGAGAGCAGAGAAGTCGGTCGAAAATTGATAGGTACCTAGCGATTTTTGCCAATCTCAAACCCAACTGCTACTTCAATTTCTACAACAACTACAACTGCAACAACCATGTCTGGACGAGGAAAGGGAGGAAAAGGACTTGGCAAAGGAGGAGCAAAGAGGCTCATAGAGCTCAGGCAAGCTTGTACGAGCTTGATATAAATCACAGAGCTCGAATTAAATCTGTGGATTGACCAGTTTAAGCTAGTACACCTTGTGTGAGCTCAAAATTTTTTCAATTGCTCCCGTACGTAGCCTAACTATTTTTAAGTTCGCGCTCTGAGAGCTCGGCAAGCTATCTCACAGACCTCAAGCGAGCTCTCACCGTAGCTAAAACTAATCAAATTTGCTAGCTCGATTCTGATTGGCTCTCCCATCTTGGTGGCCGATTTGAATTTAGTACCCTAAGACAGGGAGCCAAACTGTGGTAAAGTCAATCGTCAATCTACAGCTTCTACCACAACAACTACAACTACAACAAGATGTCAGGCAAAGGAGGAAAATCGAAGAGCGGCAAAGTTGGAGCCAAAGCCAAGACCCGATCAAGCCGAGCTGGACTGTAGTTCCCAGTTGGACGAATCCACCGATTTATCCGCAAGGGCAACTACGCTGAGCGAGTTGGTGCTGGAGCCCCATTCTACCTTGCTGCTGTGCTCGAGTATTTGACTGCTGAGATCCTTGAGCTGGCTGGCACCGCTGCTAAAGACAACAAGAAGTCCAGGATCATCCCCAGACACTTGCAGTTGGCCATCAAGAACGACGAAGAGTTGAACAAGCTGCTCCACGGAGTGACCACTGCTCAGGGTGGTGTGCTGCCGAACATCCAGGCTGTGCTCCTGCCCAAGAAGCAGTCTTCGTCTCAGCCCAAGTCTGACAAGAAGTAAAGAGCTTCTACCTCTGCCAGTTGCTAGCTCTCAAGCTTCAACAAAAAAACCGGCCTTTTTAAAGGCCACCAAATTTAAAGTTCTATCTTTTTATCCTGCCTAGCAGGCATATCTAAGCTACTCAGAGCAAACTAAGGTGGCCTAACAACACTATCTAGTCTCGAGCTCGACTGGCAGTCCAAAAATGAAGCTTAATTTAGCTTTCAGCTGAGAGCCAATCAGAATTTAGTCTTCTTCGAGCTCGATTTGAACACAATTTTTCAAGTTACGTTGGCTTTTTGCTCGATCCACAACTCAACACCACTACAACTACATCTCTACAATGGCACCCAAAGTCAGCTGAAAGGCAGTCAAGAAGGCAGGCAAAGCCCAGACGAAGCCCACTGGAGACAAGAAAAAGAAGAGGCGAGAGACCTACTCTCTCTACATCTACAAGGTGCTGAAGCAGGTCCACCCTGACACCGGCATCTCCTCCAAGGCTATGTCGATCATGAAAAGCTTTGTGAACGACATCTCCGAGAGAATCGCCGGTGAAGCTTCAAAACTGGACCACTACAACAAGCGATCAACCATCTCTAGCCGGGAGATCCAAACCGCAGTCAGACTGCTGTTGCCTCTACACCTAGTTGCTCTGAGCAACACCAAACCGGCCTTTTTCACAGAGCTCGAATTAAATCTGTGGATTGACCAGTTTAAGCTAGTACACCTTGTGTGAGCTCAAAATTTTTTCAATTGCTCCCGTACGTAGCCTAACTATTTTTAAGTTCGCGCTCTGAGAGCTCGGCAAGCTATCTCACAGACCTCAAGCGAGCTCTCACCGTAGCTAAAACTGATCAAATTTGCTAGCTCGATTCTGATTGGCTCTCCCATCTTGGTGGCCGATTTGAATTTAGTACCCTAAGACAGGGAGCCAAACTGTGGTAAAGTCAATCGTCAATCTACAGCTTCTACCACAACAACTACAACTACAACAAGATGTCAGGCAAAGGAGGAAAATCGAAGAGCGGCAAAGTTGGAGCCAAAGCCAAGACCCGATCAAGCCGAGCTGGACTGTAGTTCCCAGTTGGACGAATCCACCGATTTATCCGCAAGGGCAACTACGCTGAGCGAGTTGGTGCTGGAGCCCCATTCTACCTTGCTGCTGTGCTCGAGTATTTGACTGCTGAGATCCTTGAGCTGGCTGGCAACGCTGCTAAAGACAACAAGAAGTCCAGGATCATCCCCAGACACTTGCAGTTGGCCATCAAGAACGACGAAGAGTTGAACAAGCTGCTCCACGGAGTGACCACTGCTCAGGGTGGTGTGCTGCCGAACATCCAGGCTGTGCTCCTGCCCAAGAAGCAGTCTTCGTCTCAGCCCAAGTCTGACAAGAAGTAAAGAGCTTCTACCTCTGCCAGTTGCTAGCTCTCAAGCTTCAACAAAAAAACCGGCCTTTGTAAAGGCCACCAAATTTAAAGTTCTATCTTTTTATCCTGCCTAGCAGGCATATCTAAGCTACTCAGAGCAAACTAAGGTGGCCTAACAACACTATCTAGTCTCGAGCTCGACTGGCAGTCCAAAAATGAAGCTTAATTTAGCTTTCAGCTGAGAGCCAATCAGAATTGAGTCTTCTTCGAGCTCGATTTGAACACAATTTTTCAAGTTACGTTGGCTTTTTGCTCGATCCACAACTCAACACCACTACAACTACATCTCTACAATGGCACCCAAAGTCAGCTGAAAGGCAGTCAAGAAGGCAGGCAAAGCCCAGACGAAGCCCACTGGAGACAAGAAAAAGAAGAGGCGAGAGACCTACTCTCTCTACATCTACAAGGTGCTGAAGCAGGTCCACCCTGACACCGGCATCTCCTCCAAGGCTATGTCGATCATGAAAAGCTTTGTGAACGACATCTCCGAGAGAATCGCCGGTGAAGCTTCAAAACTGGACCACTACAACAAGCGATCAACCATCTCTAGCCGGGAGATCCAAACCGCAGTCAGACTGCTGTTGCCTCTACACCTAGTTGCTCTGAGCAACACCAAACCGGCCTTTTTAAAGGCCATCAAAAAGCATAGTTCTCTTAGTACTCTAGCTAGCAAGCTCAAATTGGCTTGTATGCAACTTCGAGCTCTGAACACCTAGCTTTGGGCATCTAATTTGAGCTACTAAGCTCAACTGAGCTTGTAACTTGCTTAAATCAGCTCCAGGCCAACTTAAGAGCTAAAAGACTGCTAAATTTTAAGCTTTCACGTCTCAGCCAATCAGAATTGAGCTTCATTGTGCTCTCTGACTTACAGCTCGAAACAGCTAAGTTTGAGCTTCCAAAGCTAGCTAACGAGCCCAATTCAGCTAGTTTAAGCTGAACTGAGCTGGTAGCTGGCTGAAATTAGATTTGGGTCAATTCTAGAGCCAAGAACACCAAATTTTCAAGTTTTCACCTCTCAGCCAATCAGATTCGAGCTTAGTTTGACACGGGCCAATCACCTTTTCCGCTTTTCGCGGGTAGCCTCCAACCCAAGTATAAATAGTCGGCACTTCACATATTTTACTATATATAGTTGAAAATGCTCCTTAATATATATAAGTAACGACTCACCAGAGCTCTTCTTCTATTGCTCTTTTACGTGCCTAACTATTTTTTATACGTCGAACGCTCTCAAGACTTCTGGAGATCTGAATTTCTTGGCTACCTCACGGATTTGTCTAAACTTCAACACCCAAAATCTACTTCTACATCTACAACTCAGCTACACTCAACTGACGAAGAATGGCCCGAACGAAGCAGACTGCACGAAAGAGTACTGGAGGAAAGGCACCCAGGAAGCAACTGGCTACCAAGGCTGCTAGGAAGAGCGCACCTTCCACCGGCGGTGTGAAGAAGCCTCACCGATACAGACCAGTAACCGTTGCCCTGAGGCATAAGTAGGTTAACTCTTTTTAAGTTCGAGCTCTCAGAGTTCGGCAAGCTATCTCACAGACCTCAAGCGAGCTTCTACGAGCTTGATTTCAATCACATAGCTCTGATAAGCTCTGTGGACTGACCAGTTTGAGGTAGAAGGTCTTGTGGGAGCTCAAAAAAAATTTCAATTGCTCCTTTACGTGCCTAACTTTTTTTACTACTTATTATCTGCTCTCTCATTGGCTGTTGGTATGAGGGCCAATGAGAGAGCAGAAAATTCGGTCGAAAATTCTTAGGTACCTGGCGATTTTTGCCAATCCCAAACCCAACTTCTACTTCAAATTCTACAACAACTACAACTGCAACAGTCATGTCCGGACGAAGAAAGGGAGGAAAAGGACTTGGAAAAGGAGGAGCAAAGAGGCACCGAAAGATCTTAAGAGATAATATCCAAGGCATCACCAAGCCAGCCATCAGACGTCTTGCACGACGAGGAGGTGTCAAGCGTGTCAGTGGACTGATCTACGATGAGACCCGAGTAGTGCTCAAAAACTACTTGGAGAGCGTGATCAGGGATGCTGTAACCTACACCGAGCACGCCAAGAGGAAGACCGTTGTAGCCATGGACATCGTCTACGCCCTCCAACGACAAGGCAAGACCTTGTACGGATTCGGAGGTTAAGAAGCTTCTTAGCCAGCTGCTCTCCTAGCTGCAGCACCAAACCGCCCTTTTTAAAAGCCACCAACAACTTCAGTTCTCATATCAAGCTCGTCTGTGCGTTTTAACCAGTCATACTTTTTGAGGTTTTTTAGGAAGAGCACGACCTGAGCTGTAATTTATTAGACAGCATTCGTAAAAAAAGTACACAATTTTCAAAAATTTCATCCTTTTGAAAACTATTTCATCAAAGTTTGTACTGGTGATTTTATATTGAAACAAATTGAAATATCTATTTTACGAAAAGTCTCCATTGAAGCGAAGAAAACTTAATTTTTTCCTCCATACAAGTTAGCATCATTTATTTCAACTATTATTACCTGTATAGTAGTCCCATAGGTTTTATGGCAAACAATTTTGCTAGAAAATTTTCTAGCTCAAAAAAAAGGAATCGAAATGAAACATACGTTTTTCAGGAAAGCCAATATTTTAAGAAGCGACGCATTTTGAAGCGAAGCATCTGTCAACAAACTTCTGACTCCCATCAACTTGTGCTTTAATTACCTTCGATTATCAGTGGACACTGACATTTTTGTCTTATGTTCAAACATTTCAGATTTGACAATATTACAAATTTCTAATTATAACGCTTGACAGTATTATCCGTGGAAAGTCAAAAAAAAGTTCTCACTGAAAGTTTCGACGCAAATTAATTGGAGCTAATGTCATTCAAAGTTTTGAAAAAAGTAGCGCTTACCCAAACTGCATTGCTTTAAATTTCTCTTCGAAAACAATATCTGAACTTACATTGTTCCTATCAGGAAGGGATCAACCGTCATTCTTCGATTGTTATGGAGGGTTTAAGTCTATGTAAAATAAACATATATTTATTTATAATTGCTTGGAGGCATATATATATATATATATATATATATATATATATATATATATATATATATATATATAAAAATATACATAAATATGTAATATTTATAAAAATAATTATATATGTACATCTATATATCTACAGCTTCTACCACAAAAGCTACAACTACAACACGATGTCAGTCAAAGGAGGAAAATCGAAGAGCGGCAAAGTTGGAGCCATGGCCAAGAACCAATCAACTTGTTCAACCGCATAGACAACTACGCCGAGTGAGTTGGAGCGGGATTCACTGTTTACCTTGCTGCCTGCTCGAGCATTTGAATGCTTGAGCTGGCTCCGAAAGCTGCGAAAAACAATAAGAAGTCTCAAGAAGTATGGTTTTTCTTCCAATTCATTTTTTTTTACCTGAGGTCAATTTTTACTGCATGATAGAGGTCATTTTCTTAGTTCTTTACTCTCACTTTTTTCAATATCAGTTTTTCAACCTGTTCTGTGAGTTCATTCAAACTTTTTGGTGGGTTCATGAAGACACATAGTTCAATTTTGGCAGTCAGACAGTTTTTAACCGTCTTGATGAACCCACCAAACAAATTTAATTGAACGCACCAAACAAGTTGAAAAGTTGATTCTAAAAAACTGAGGATTAAAAAAAATAAAAAATTGACCACTATTATGAAGTAACAATTAACCTCAGGTTAAAAAATGAAATTGAAAGCAAACCGTCATTCTGGAATTGTCAATTTTAGTGAGATCATACGCGAGCAACTCGACACTTAACTCCCTTTCTTTCTCCCACATTTTTCCTTTGCCGTTGCCCCATCATTTATACGAGAGTAGGGAATGGGGGAAGTAGTAGTGGGGGCAATTGTAGCGAGGGAGATGAATGATTCATAAGTTGCAGGGGGAACTATAAAAAAAATCAACATGAAAAATCAAATAGGCCAAAATGATTTTGAAAAATTTGACAGCGTTTTTTAGGTCCTGTTTTTGAGTACCCAGGTTATTTGTCCAAAGAGTCCATCCTTAGGAGCGTCCCTAGAGCCCAGCTTAGCCAGTGAAAAACCATGTCAAAGTCGTGCAGTGATTGCCTCGGAATTCCTGGAGCAATCTAAGAGTCCAAGCCTGGTCTTCCAAATTTTTTTGATTGATTTTTCAAATTAAGAAATGTTTTCGAACCTGACTTAAAACAAAACAAACCAAAGATTATTCTCAGGAAAAAATTCAAACAGGTTAATTGGAAAAAATCACGCAAAGAAAGTTGTAGGTCACCAATGAAGAGAAAAGTGAAATTTTTACATACGTTTTTTATGTGTCTATATTCCGAGGCAATACCTGTACAAAAGTGTCGGTTTTCTGTCAAATTTAGGCTTATTTTACATAATAGAAACCTAATTTTTGCTCCCTACAGATCAGTCGTTTTACTTTTTGGTTGCTTAGTGTGAAAAATTGAGTGTGGACTACAATACACTCCCAAACAAATACAACTTTGCATGGATTTTTTTTGAAATCGTTTGTTTCAGC